ATGAGCTTTCTCTCTGTCTCTCCCCCTCTCACTAACAGGCACCCAAAGGGGCTCTGTTTTCAAAACATCTAAAATGAGCCAAGCAGACAGTAAGGAAATGTAATTCTTTTTTACAATCACTAGGCCTACTGACTAAAAATTGCCTTTTAGAATTTAACTTTTACAACCTTGAATAGTTCCTGAGCAGACAGCAGGCAGCCCAAGCTTCAGGCCTCAGTGCACACCCAAAACCATATCTCATGGGTGAAATCATCATAAATAACCCCTAGTGATAAGGCTGTCCCACTAGAACAACTTGCCCACATTCCAGAAATAACCAAGTTCCCAGGAACAGAAAATATGGGAGAGATGGGCAGCCTGATATCTTGTATCTGCCTCATGCTAATTACTTCACACCTGATTCTGTTATCAACTAATAGCAATCATTATTTTTTTTTCTTTCTCTTTGTCCCCATAAAAACAGCAAGCCTCTTGGCCTTTGTGCATGCACCTCCCTTCTCTTTCTTTGGGTGCCACATCATCTCTCCTGTATCTCTCTTTCTCCTTCTTTTTCCCTTCTCTCTCTCAATAGCTCTCCTTCTAAGAAACTAAAATAAACTTTTTACTTTTATATATACTAATATCTGTGATCTCTGTGTGAGAAATATTCCCTCCAGCCCCCACTGTGAACATCTAGTGAGTTTTCCACCTTTACACCCATCCATGACAGGCACTTCACCATTTCTTTGCTTAGATCAGTATAGTCTAGAATATATTACTTTAATTTATAGGTCTAAATCCAGGCCTAAAATAGGTAGAGTCAAGAAGACTCATGCTCAATATGTAATTGCACATTATATTTGTAGGACAAGAGGCCAATCTATTGTATATAGTGGGAAATGCTACATTTTTGAATACCAAAGTATGTATTTTTGATTTCCAGAAAAATAAATTTTCTTGTGGATGATGCCTACAAAACTTAATTAATTATCATGATATTCTTTATTGCTCCTGGAATCACAGACAAAGAAAGTCTCGGTAATGGTGGCATTAATGGTGATGATTACTCCCTTAAGGGATGCAATTTATGTCATTATGTGCCTTTGGCAGAATGAATTTTATAAGTCTCCAAGAGAGCCTATTCTCAGAAACATTTAGTTTTCTTGCACCTGGAGACAATTTCTTAATATCCTGAAAATAATATCTGTTCCTTCAGAATTAAAAACAATTCAGCTTCATGATGGTTAATTTTTTGTCAACTTGACTGGGCCAACTGGTTCCCAGCCATTGGATCAGACATTCTTCTGCATGTCTGTGTGGATGTTCCTGGGTGAGATTCACATTTGAATTGGTAGACTGAGTAAAGTAGATTGCCCTCTCTAATTAAATGGGCCTCATTCAGTCAGTTGAAGACCTGAGTGGAACAAAAAAGCTGAGTGAGAGGGAATTTCTTCTCCTTGCCTGCTTGTTCTAAAACATAGATCTTTCCCTGCCTTCAGGTTCAATCTGAAAAACCTACTCTTCTTGATCTCACAGCTCTGGGCTTTTGGATTGGAACTTACACCATCAGCTCCCCTGGGTATGAGGCCTTTGGACATGGACTGGAACTACCTCATCAGCTGTCCTTGGGTCTCCAGCTTACCAACTACAGATCTTGGGACATCCACCCTGCATAGTCACGTGAGCCAATTGCTTATAATGAATCTCATATAGATCATAAAATAACATATATTCTATTGGTTTTGTCTCTTTATGGACCCCAAATACAAGCTTTCAGTCTCATAAACTAGAATTTCATCTGGGCTGAACTGCAATTCAACTGGAAATTTAGAAAAATAGTGAGACTGGCTCCAGATGGGGAGTAGGGAGTATAAGAAATAATTCAGGAAATAAAAAAACATGTATGTTTGTGAAGGCATCTATCTAACCAAACCTGTCGTCTGAAAGGGGTCTATATCATTAAAATTGGTAGAAGGTCCCAAAGGAAAGTAGCTATGGTTAAAAATGAAAAGAAGAAGCTGGATTAAAAAATGACACAGTGCACTTGAAATTTACAGTGCAGTGAACATCCTATTTGGTAGTTATAATGTGTGGAAACTGATGTTTGTTATTGTTATATATTATTATATATTATTGTTATAAATTATTATTGCTATTATTATTATGTGCAGATTGACCCCCTTTTACACTTCTTCTGATATATGCTAAGGGTTAAGATTTTTCAGTAAAAATGAGAGACAAATTATCTCAGGCAGTGTATCACAGAAATATATGAAATGTATGCATACTCTGTGTTCAATGTTATTTTGCACTATGCCTTAATACTGAGAGAAAAAAACTATAGCTATATCTCATATAATACTATATATTAGATGTAATATATATAATCCATTTATATTCCTCAGTTTCTTCAGATATTTTTTGATTAATTTATATTTAACAAGAAACACTCCTGGTATGGTCTGAATGTTTATGTGCCCTCAAATTCATATGTTAAAACCTAATCACCAATGACATTAGGTTAGGTCAGCCATTAGGAAGTGATTAGGCCATGAGGGCAGAGCCTCATTAATGGAATTAATGCCCTAGAGCAGCGGTCCCCAACCTTTTTGGCACCAGAGACTAGTTTCATGGAGGATGATTTTTCCACAGATGGGGGCTGAAGGAGAAGGAAGAGCTCAGGCGGTAACATGCAGCCTGGTTCCTAACATGGCATGGACTGGGACTGGGTGGTAGCCTGGGTGTTGAGGACTGTAGCCCTAGAGAGATTCTCACCCCTTCTACCATGTGAGGACACAGAAAAAATGTACCATGAACCAGAAAATGGGCTCCCACTAGACAGTTTTCAGTTTCTAGAACTATAAGAAATAAATTTCTATTGTTTATAAGCTACCTAGTCAAAGATTTTTTGTTATAGCATCTCAATATGACAATAGCATCTCAACTAAGACAACTCCTTACATAAAATATTTATGTAATTTAGATAATTTATCAAGTATAGATCACATTATGTGTTTCTGAATAGGCCTGTGAATATATAAGGAATAGGCTTGGGCAGTGAGACTTAAGTAATAATGGACAATGGCATAAAAATATATATTTAATAAAACTAATTTTAATCAATATTTTTATTTTGCTTGTTTATTTGGTCTGTTTAGTTATATGCAGCTTATATTATTATTTTTAATATATGATTTCTTTCCCAAATTTATCTATAGATTTAATTCAATAGCAATCCCAATCTCAGCAGGTTTTTTTTAGAAATTTACATGCTAATTCTAAAATTTATACAATAAAATCTAATTAGAAAAATTGAAGAATCAAATAAATTCTAACAAGTATTAAAATGTTGGAAGATTCACACTACAGAATTGCAAACCTTATTATAGAGCTACAGTAATTAAAACAGTATAGTAAGAGCACAGGAAGAGACTGAATAATCAGTCAATGCAAGGGAATGAATCTCCAGTATCCAGATGCATATGATTAAATCAACTTTGGTCGAACTAGTTGAATGAAAATGGAAAATATTTGCAAGGATAGTGTTGGAACAACTGAATAAAAATTGAAAAACAAAGGGAATTTTGACTCCTACTTACATAATAAACAAAAATTTTAGATGGAATGTAGACCTAAATATAAAAGCTAAAGTTTATATAAGAAAACATAGGAGAGTGTTCTCTTAACCCTACATTAGGATTTTTTTTAAGATAGGACACTGAGTTCATTAGTCATGAGAAAAATAAAATAAATGTGTCTTCATCTAAGCTTTTTAAAAAATTCTGATTCTCAGAAGACACTCCTAAACAAATGAAAGCAAGACATAATCCATGAGAAAATATTCATGACATTCTAAGAAAGATCTAATAGTTGAATGTGTAAAGATGTCCTAACAACCAATTTTAAAAGAGGATAAATGAGATATGAAAAAGACCTGAAGACTCTTAACAAAAGAAAATATGCACATAGGAAAAAAAGTGCTTGGCATCATTACTCTTTAAGGAAATGTGAAGTAAAGCAAAAATGACCTTTTAGTGCACACATTCTGGATTGGCTAAAAATAAAAGAAAAAGTAAAAAAAAATATATCAAATGTTGTCAAAGATATGAAGAAATGGGAACTGTTATTTTTTTCTACTGGGAATCTAAAACAGTATTGTGATGTTAGAAAATTCTTTGGATTTTACTTATCAAATTATTTTAGTTAAAACTTTAATTACAGAATTAAACTTATTTTAATTTTAAAATATTTTTTGTAAATGTATGACTTAGAAATGGAACAGGGAAAGTTCCATTAGTTTATATGGCTATAAAATGGTATTGCTTATTTTAATTGGAAATCTTTTCAGGTTCCTTTCTGATAATGAGCACAAGTTGACATGTCTACCTTATCTACATACAGAGTTAGGTAAAACTCAGACTGGCAAATAACAACAAGGTTTTCTTAGAATATCTTTTTTTCTTTAAGTCCTGAGGTTGATACCAAAAAGATAAAAAATCATTTTATTTTTTGATGTCTGAATGGTTGTTTTACCAGTGTCAACACACCTTCATCACTGCACTCAACATGCTTAAGAATTTCTGAACCACTTTCTCTAAATCTAGATTTGAAAACTCAGATTTAGAGAGAGACTTGGAGACATAGAATAAAATCAAACAAAATATTATATAGTAAGAGGTATAGGAATTGAATTACAGTTATAAATAAAACATACTCCAATGTTAAGTTTATATGTTCGAATGTTAAGAACAGCCAGGCCCAGTGGCTCATGTCTATTATCCTAGCACTTTTGGATGCCAGGAGTTCAAGAGTGTTAACAAAAATACCATGCTATGTATTTAATTACTGCCCAGACTGTGGAAAATGATTTTCACAAATAAAACTTCCTCGACTAAATTGTAGGAGAACTACAGCAGAAAAAGAAAAAGACATGACTGAGAAAATGCCCCATTTCTAGCCAATCATAAAGTGTTTATTTAATGTTATTCCAAACTATCAATCTATAAAATATTTTATAAATGTCACTTTGATTCTCCAGCTTCTCTTTTGATGAAAAACTTAAATATTTTATCCCACATCTGCTTAGTTTTCACAACATAGACAATGGGGTTCATCACAGGGGGGATGAGGAAGTGCATGTTGGCCAAGGTCACATAGACATGTGAAGGAAGTCTTGAGCCAAAGTGGTGCAGCATGGACAGGCAGATCATGGGTGTGAAGAAGATGACCACAGCAGAGATGTGGGAGATGCAGGTGTTGAGGGCCTTGAGACGGCCACCATGGGAAGCAATTCTAAGCACAGTTTTCAATATCAGCACATAAGAAAAGAGAATGAGCAAAAAGTCTAGACCCATGGTAGAAAGCACCACAAACAATCCCAAACTGCTATTGATTCTAGTGTTGCTGCAAGAGAGCTTTATAATGTCAGGGTGCAGACAGTAGGAATGAGAAAGTACATTGGAGCAACAGAAGCACAGCCTCATCAAGAGGATGGGGAGGGGCACTTCTGCTGCCAAGGTTCGCACAAAAATAGCCAAACCCATCCTGGAAATCACACTAATGGTGAGGATGGAAGAATAGTACAGTGGACGAGAAATGGCTACATAGTGGTCAAAGGCCATTGCCAGAATAACAGCAGACTCAAAGTCCTGGAAGGTGTGAATAAAGAACATTTGGGTAAAGCAAGCTGAAAAGGTCAGTTCTTGAGCATCCAACCAGAAGATCCTCAGCATCGTGGGGAAGGTGAAGAGGGACAGGCCCAGATCAGAGGCAGCTAGCATGGCCAGGAAGAGGTACATAGGCACATGGAGGGTCTGCTCCCTCCAGATAACTGTCATGATGGTCATGTTACCCACCAAGGTAATGAGGAACATGGCACAGAAGGGAATGGAGATCCAGATGTGCACAGCCTTCAGCCCAGGAATGCCTGTCACCAGGAAGGTGGAGAAGAAGGAGGTGGTGCTATTGAGAGGAAGCATGATGCCAGGATGGCATGCTTTTCCTAGAATTAAATGCATTATCTGAGGAACAGTTGTTCATATTTGGCATAGAATTTTAGAATATGAGAGTGTCTATATTGTAATTTAAATTACAACTAGTCTTATTTGCATTCCCTTCAACGGATACTGTGCCCATGAAAGATGACCTGCCATTCTAACTATATACCTTTAGATAATCTAAAACTATGAGCAAGGTCCCTTCAATATCATTTTTCCACAGGTAATGCGGGCTCGATTTTTAAAAATCTGCATTTTATTAAACCGATTACAATTGATCTATTCAGTTTCTAAGAAGCAAATCTAGCCCTGCATCTGTATTCAAATTAAATTCTAAGATTCATGCTTCTCACTGAGCTTATAGTGAGAAGCTTATAGTTCTTACATCTTGTTCAACCCTGAAACACGTTTTACACAAGTTGTTACAGCATATGAGCATGTGTTTTTAAAATGAAAAAAGATATTATTATTAGATGTAGAAATGTTGATAGCTCAATTAATAAAACATTTTATAAAACCTCAAAATAATTTTTGTGTCCTGTAAGAACAACTATAGATTTAGAAATCTGTGAATTTAATCACTACGACCTTTTGGTGGTATTGTACACATTTGTTTTGAGTATAAAATAGTTCATGTATAATCAATACAAAATAAACACCATCAGATTTATTTCATGAATTTATACATTGGCCATTTTATCTCAACATTCATTGAATTATTTATGTGATGAATTTTGAGAACTTCTCTCTGAACTAGATTATAGTGATACAGCAACCATCAAAACATAAACCACTTGCTTGCATTATAAGGGGTGGAGGGCAATATGAAAATTAAAAGCTTAAGTGAAATTCATAATATATGAAAGATACGAGCATTTTCATTATCAATATTACTATGGCTCTTTTTTTCTAAAAATACCTACTGTAGAGATATGGAGGATTTTTGTTTGTTTGTTTAAATTTTTATTTTTGATTTTGAACTGCATTCTTGACTGAGATGGCTATTGAGATGTTCCTAGTACCTAACTAATTATCCAGAGAATGGTCTTGCAAAATCAAATATTCCCTCCTCATAAAATGACATTTTCTTTGTTCCAGCAATGAAGACAAGACACATATATCTTGTCTACTGGTCACTGCTTTTTAAAATTGTCTTATTCAGTTTATCAAAATACCAATCTGGAATATAACTTTTATTTCTAACACTTAACTAAAAATTATACATTTTGCATGACAAAAAAACAGAAAACGGGAATCAAGCCCAGAATCATAATCAAGCTATGTTTTTCTTTAATCTTCACTTTTTAAATATGAATAATTTTGAATGAAAGATATATACAAGTGCATAAAGTGCCCAATTCTCCATTATTCAAGAAAAAAATTAAATGTTAGCAATTCCAGACATGGCACTCCGTATATCATAGCACAGGCACTTTCCATTCCGAGCTCTTGACATTCTCTGTCTGAGTCTACTCTGAACAATCTCTGAGCCTGTTAGTGTTTGGGGATGAGGCTGGTTGATATTAACGTAGAATTGGATACCCCCTTCTCTATCCTTGATATTTTTAAAGAAATTTCTTTGCATTTGGGTCAGAATTATTCCCCAAAGTAACTTGTGTTTGTCTTTAGAAGATAAAATGTAAATATCCTCATAGGATATTCATAAAACAAATATCTATGGTTTCTTGTACTACATGCAAGAATTTTTACAGATATCAGTCCCAAATAACTTTGCTCTTGCTTCTATATTCAAACTCATCTAAATCTTAATTCCCTTCTCACCTGACATCTCAAGGCAGTTTGGTTGCCAGAGTCCTGCAGGAACAGTTACAACGCCCAAAACTAAAGCACTTGAGGCCCGGTTTGACCTCTATTATCATTCATTAATAGCTACCTGAGAGGATAGGAATCTTCTGGGAATCCTTCCTCTTTGGCTTTATTTGAAGTTATTATTAACTCTTAACTGCTTGATAGGAGTACTCTGGGTATAATCCATATTAACCTACAGAGCTGCATATAGTAGATACCCTATGAGTATAAGATTTTAACTCAATTCAAATTAAATGTCATATTTAAATAGTTTATCTACAATTTGGGAGCATTTATGTGATTTTTTTCTGGGATGTATTTCAGGAACACTTAAATATGCTTGCAACATAAAATCAATGCACTACCTACCAGTCTAGAATCTTTTGAGATTCAGAATTGAAATAGGATTGGGTGTATATGGTATTATCTGGGAATTCTAAAGCTATAAAGGCATCACTCTTTCATAGCATCATCCATCTCCTTCACACTATACACGCAGACTTAGGTTAGAGGATCAATGGAGTCATAGTGCATAATAAAAACACCAAGCCATGAAAGTTTGGGATTTCCAGAGTCAAGGACAAGGCTGGAGACATAGAGACATTCTTGTAGTGATAAAAATTCAATAGGAGTATCTAGTGACAAGACCAGTAGGCACTCCTCAGAAAATTGGAAAAATTCTCTTATGTATCATATATGATTTCTCATTTTCCCCTCAACAATCCAGAAAATTACTATAATCTTCATATTGTCATTAAGGAAATTGAGGTTCAAAAAACTAAATTAACTTGAAGAAAGTCACTCAGTTACTATACAGCAAACTGAGTTTCAAACAAGAATTAATATGGATCCAGAACACATGTTCTTTTGAATTATAATATTATACTAGAAGCTACTTCAATATAATATCAAAGTTAAAAGGAGGAAAGCGTCTTTCTCCTAAACCATTTATTTATATATATAAAAAAAGGCATGGTGATCTGTTGTATGAGAAGGAGGATAAATAGCTCTCACCATGAAATTTTCTGACCCTGAGAATATATGTATCTATGTAGCAACAGTATTGAGTGTATAAAGTGAGCATAGTATGGCAAAACTCTTCAAAGCTTAACTTTTGTTCTAGGATACTGTTAACCCCCTCTACAGGGTTTCCTAACTCAATGATTCCACTACCTCGTCAGTGTTCATTTCTCTCCAATCTGTGCATATTTCTGCACTTTCAACCCTAGTCATTTTAAATGCTAGTAAGTTAATTCAATTCCTACACCTGTCATTGGACCAAGTCCTTCTGATTGCTTTTTATTTATTAGAATATCTTTTCCACCCCTCATTTTGGCTAGGTTATAATTTGTCGTGCATCACTACTGCGGTTAGGCTAAACTTGAACCTTCAACCCTTATATTCAGTATCAGCAGCCCCAATTATTGTAGTTGATTTTTAAAATCTATTTTGCCCCATAAGCAATGTTCAGGAGGTTATATCTGTCTTGGATGTCCATCTTATTTAATTTTATATTTCCAGAGTTGAATAAAGTAACTACCAAATAGTTGTTGAGGGAAAAAAATGAATGACTTTCTGGGACTCATAGAGCAGGAATGAAAATGTTCCTTCTTGTGACTTTCACTGTACTTTATGATAGTTTCTGAGACATCTTGCCTAGAGTGAACTATTAATGACATTCTCTTCAATGTAAACTGAAAAGCAGGAAACATGGAGAAACAATGGAGTGGCATTGCTATTAGTTAGGCAAAGCAAGCCTGGTTAAGATAAAGGTGGAAATGGGCATATTCAAAAATTAAATAGGATGGTGGTTTATTGATTTCACATTTTGCAAATAATTTAGTGTTATTGAATGAAAAGTTATCTTTGTTACTAACTATATTTATTTATATAGATTAAACTTACAGCATGAGTATCTTCTGTTATATGTTAAACAAATACATGACTTTAAATTGATGCTTCTTATGAGGACTTGGGGAATGTTAGGAACTTTCTTGTATACTATATTTTAGTATTTCAGTAATGTTCTATGACTCTATGAAAGAATATGGAACTATTTGGGCATTTGACAGTTTTATTTTTTTCTTTTAAAATATACTGTTGCTTTTCTTCCTTCCATGGTTATTATCAGACCTATCAAACAAATACTTTCAAGCCATCTCTTCACCTTGAATACATGAAGCCAATGTTGTAACAGGCAAGAGGAAGCTAAAATGCATATTTTCAGAATTTTGAACCAATTGCTATTATTATTGAAATTAGGTAAATAGTAGGAAGAAAAGTACATATTTTATTCTTGAAATATATTTTTCATTCACTTTTGAGTACTGGATTATAATCAGGATCTAGAAGTTATCAGAATTTTGGCCTTCAACTAATGATACATTAACATGAACATTTATTTCATTCTTGTGATTTTCCTTACTTAGTGACCAAAGTTTAGAGATCTAAACAACAGAAAAATTCCCCCTCCCTTTTTAGATCCCTTCTTTCCTTCCTTCCTTCCTTCTTTTCTTACTTTTTTTTTCTTTCTCTTTCTTTTGTTTTAAGTTATAGGAACATCAAAATAATTAGATGTCCCGAATGGCTATCAACAGATATTTTGAAGATAAGGCTTCATACTTTTATATCTCACAAACCATTGCCTCATGAACATTCGTAAACTTGCTGAATATTGTTTCTCAAAGTCTTAACTGATTTATTAATTTTTCATTTATTTAGCAAATACTCACTAAGAACTATTATAAGCAAAATACCATATCCAGATACTGCTGATCCTAACATGGAAGCACTAATTTCTGTCCTCATGCAGTTACATTTAACTGGGAATGCAAATTTTACAAATCATCTTATCTCTGACACAACAGCCTACAGTGTCAACCTCCTCTTCCCCTCTTACTACCAGCTCCAGAATATGTTTTAAAACTGATATGCATTATCCTAAGCATTTTATGCAACTCTGAATTATTTAATAATAAGAGTCACCTACGTGAATATCATCCTGTTGAAATTCACCTTCCAAACAGACACATTCATTCTCTTTTTATTTCCAGATCTTAGCAGAATTCAGAGTATATGGTGGAAGCTCACTAAGTATGCATGAACTGAATGAATGCATAGATGAAAATGTGGAGTATATCTTCCCCAAAGAGAGTGAACTTCATGAGACTGGG